TGCGAGGCCTCCAATTTGAAGAAAATTAATGCATCAAAACTATTTCATATGCATTATGGTGGTCAGTATACTTATACTGTGTGGTCTGAATACTTGTATTGTGGTCAGTATTCTTGTATGATGATCAGTATACTTGTATGGTGCTCAGTATACTTGTATGTTGGTCAGTATAATTGTATAATGGTCAGTATACTTAAATGGTGCTCAGAATACTTGTATCGTGATCAGTATATCTGTACGTGCTCAATATACTTGTATGGTGACCAGTACACTTGTTTGGTGCTCAGAATACTTGTAAGGTTGTCAGTATACATGTATGGTGGTCAGTATACTTGAATTGTGCTCAATATACTTGAATTGTGCTCAATGTACTTGTATGATGATCAGTATACGTATATTGTGCTCAGTTCTCGTATGGTGGTTAGTATACTTATGTGGTGCTCAGTATATTTGTATTGCCATCAGTGTACTTGTATTGTCATCAGTATACTTGTATTGTAGTCAGTATACGTGTATATTGTGGTCAGTATACTTGTATGTTTCTCAGTATACTTGTATAGTGCTGAGTATACTTGAATGGTACTCAGTGTACTTGTATGGTGTTCAGCATATTTGTATCGTGCTCAGTATACTTGTATTGTATTCAGTACACTTGTATTGTTGTCAGTATACTTGTATAGTTCTCAGTATATGTGTATAGGTGTTTAGTATACTTATATGGAACTCAGTATTCTTGTATTGTTGTCAGTATACTTCTATGGTGCTCAGTATACTTGTGTGGTGCTCAATATACTTGAAGGGTGGTCAGTATATTTGTATGGTGCTGGATATACTTGTAATGTACTCAATATGCTTGTAATGTACTCAGTATACTTGTTTGGTGCTCAATATATTTGTATGGTACTCCGTATACTTGAATCTTGGTCAGTATATTTGTAATGTACTCAGTATACTTGTTTTGTGCTCAGTATACATGTATAGTGGTCAGTATAATTGTATGTTGGTCAGTATACGTGTATGATAGTCAGTATACTTGTATGGTGTCAGTATACTTATATGGTGCTCAGTATACTTTTATGGTGGTCAGTATACTAGTATGGTGGTCAGTATACTTGTATGGGTGCCAGTATACATGTATGGTTGTCAGTATATTTGTATTATTTCCAGTATACATATGTGGTGCTCAGTATACTTGTATGGTGTTCAGTATACTTGTATGGGGCTCAGTATACTTGAATTGTGGTCAGTATACTTGTATGGCTGCCAGTATACTTGTATGGTTCTCATTATTCTTATATGGTGGTCAGTATACTTCTATTATGCTCAGTGTTCTTGTATGGTTCTCAGTATACTTGTATTGTGGTCAGTATACTTGTATGGTTCTCAGTATACTTGTATGGGTCTCAGTATACTTGTATGGTGGTCAGTATATATCTATGGTGGTCAGTATTCTTGTATGGTTCTCAGTATACTTGTATGGTGGTCAGTATACTTCTATGGTGGTTAGTATTCTTGTATGGTTCTCAGTATACTTTTATGGTGGTCACTATACTCTAATGATGGCCAGTTTACTTTTATTGTGGTCAGAAAACTTGAATGGTGGGCAGTATACTCGTATGGTGCTCAGTGTGCTACATGGGTGCTCACTATGCTTGTATGGTGTTCAGTATACTTGTATTGTGCTCAGTATACTTTTATGGTGGTCAGTATACTTGTATGGTGGTCAGTATACTTGTATGGTGGTCAGTATACTTGTATGGTTCTCAGTACACTTGTAATGTGCTCAGTATAATTGTATTGTGCTCAGTGTTCGTGTATTGTGCTCAGTATACTTGTATTGTGGTCAGTATATTTGTAATGTGCTCAGTATACCTGTTTGGTGTTCAGTATTCTCTGTATACTTGTTTGGTTGTCAGTATATTTTTATGGGGCTCAGTGTACTTTTAATGTACTTAGTAAACTTGTTTGGTGCTCAGTATTCTTGTATGGTTCTCAGTATACTTGTATGGTTTTCAGTATATTTGTATGGTACTAAGTATACTTGTAATGTACTCAGTATACTTGTTTGGTGCTCAGTATTCGTGTATTGTGCTCAGTATACTTGTATGGTGGTCATTTTACATGTAATGTGCTCAGTATACTTGTTTGGTGCTCAGTATTCTTTTATATTTCTCAGTATACTTGTAATGTACTCAGTAAACTTGTTTGGTGCTCAGTATTTTTGTATGGTGCTCAGGATACTGTATGACACCCAGTATACCTGTATGACACCCAGTATACCTCTATGACACCCAGTATACCTGTATGACACCCAGTATATCTGTATGACACCCAGTATACCTGTATGACACCCAGTATATCTGTATGACACCCAGTATACCTGTATGACAACCAGTACACCTGTATGACACCCAGTATACTTGTATGACACGCAGTATACTTGTATGACACCCAGTATACATGTATGACACCCAGTATACTTGTATGACACCCAGTATACTTGTATGACACTCAGTATACTTGTATGACACCCAGTATACTTGTATGACACGCAGTATACTTGTATGACACGCAGTATACTTGTATGACACCCAGTATACTTGTATGACACGCAGTATACTTGTATGACACGCAGTATACTTGTATGACACACACTTGTATGACACCCAGTATACTTGTATGACACCCAGTATACTTGTATGACACCCAGTATACTTGTATGACACCCAGTATACTTGTATGACACCCAGTATACTTGTATGACACCCAGTATACCTGTATGACACCCAGTATACTTGTATGACACGCAGTATACTTGCATGACACCCAGTATACTTGTATGACACCCAGTATACTTGTATGACACCAAGTATACCTGTATGACACCCAGTATACTTGTATGACACCCAGTATACTTGTATGACACCCAGTATACTTGTATGACACCAAGTATACCTGTATGACACCCAGTATACTTGTATGACACCCAGTATACTTGTATGACACCCAGTATACCTGTATGACACCCAGTATACTTGTATGACACGCAGTATACTTGCATGACACCCAGTATACTTGTATGACACCCAGTATACTTGTATGACACCCAGTATACTTGTATGACACCCAGTATACCTGTATGACACCCAGTATACTTGTATGACACCCAGTATACCTGTATGACACCCAGTATACCTGTATGACACCCAGTATACCTGTATGACACCTAGTATACCTGTATGACACCCAGTATACTTGTATGACACCCAGTATACTTGTATGACACCCAGTATACCTGTATGACACCCAGTATACTTGTATGACACCCAGTATACCTGTATGACACCAGTATACTTGTATGACACCCAGTATACCTGTATGACACCCAGTATACTTGTATGACACCCAATATACCTGTATGACACCCAGAATACCTGTATGACACCCAGTATACCTGTATGACACCCAGTATACTTGTATGACACCCAGTATACCTGTATGACACCCAGTATACTTGTATGACACCCAGTATACCTTTATGACACCCAGTATACTTGTATGACACCCAGTATACCTGTATGACACCCAGTATACCTGTATGACACCCAGTATACCTGTGTGACACCCAGTATACCTGTATGACACCCAGTATACTTGTATGACACCCAGTATACCTGTATGACACCCAGTATACCTGTATGACACCCAGTATACTTGTATGACACCCAGTATACCTGTATGACACCCAGTATACCTGTATGACACCCAGTATACCTGTATGACACCCAGTATACCTGTATGACACCCAGTATACCTGTATGACACCCAGTATACCTGTATGACACCCAGTATACTTGTATGACACCCAGTATACTTGTATGACACCCAGTATACCTGTATGACACCCAGTATACCTGTATGACACCCAGTATACCTGTATGACACCCAGTATACCTGTATGACACCCAGTATACCTGTATGACACCCAGTATACCTCTATGACACCCAGTATACCTGTATGACACCCAGTATACCTCTATGACACCCAGTATACCTGTATGACACCCAGTATACCTGTATGACACCCAGTATACCTCTATGACACCCAGTATACCTGTATGACACCCAGTATACCTCTATGACACCCAGTATACCTCTATGACACCCAGTATACCTGTATGACACCCAGTATACCTGTATGACACCCAGTATACCTCTATGACACCCAGTATACCTGTATGACACCCAGTTTACTTATGCTTCTCAACAAATCTGCGCAATGACCAAAACAATACAAAATAGTCTAAGTTTACGGCAAAGTTTACAGATTAACTCGCTTTGGTTCTGGTTGAGATTGACATAATAGTGGAGGTCGCTTTGCATAATTGGGGTCAGGTTATTGCGGGATCGAGCCTAGCGCCCGAGCTGGGCCTAGCACGCCTCATCCTTGGTTGTGGTCACTCATACTGCTCCACATGGTGTGGTCACGCCACATGGTGTGGTCACTCCACATGGTGTGGTCACTCCACATGGTGTGGTCACTCCACATGGTGTGGTCACTCCACATGGTGTGGTCACTCCACATGGTGTGGTCACTCCACATGGTGTGGTCACTCCACATGGTGTGGTCACTCCACATGGTGTGGTCACTCCACATGGTGTGGTCACTCCACATGGTGTGGTCACTCCACATGGTGTGGTCACTCCACATGGTGTGGTCACTCCACATGGTGTGGTCACTCCACATGGTGTGGTCACTCCACATGGTGTGGTCACGCCACATGGTGTGGTCACTCCACATGATCTATGCTTTACTCTTGAGTGTCAACTTACGCTTTGGCTGCCGTAGCTACGCCAGATTACCGAGAAAAAAGAACAATTATTTCTACGTTTTGTGAAATATATATTTATGAATGATAAATGATATGTTATATATGTACGTGACTATTGTGTGAAGGAAGTAATGTTTGTCCACTTGTAACGCTACCTTCTCCCCCCAGCCATAGACCCCCACATCTTCGTCGACGACTGTCCAAACCTGGGCTACTGTCTCAACGGCGGCACCTGTATGATGTTCAAGATTGTCGGCGAGCTGGTCTGTCAGTAAGTAGAGTGTGTCAGTAAGTGTAGAGTGTGTCAGTAAGTAGAGTGTGTCTGTAAGTGTAGAGTGTGTCAGTAAGTAGAGTGTGTCAGTAAGTGTAGAGTGTGTCAGTAAGCAGAGTGAGTGTGTCTGTAAGTGTAGAGCGTGTCAGCATCCTTGACTCTCTTATCCACATATTTGGCTTCACTTATACTTATTGAGTTAAAATGGTTGTATGTGAGTGTGACCAATGATAGCACTCATGTGGATCCATAATTATGGTGATGAAACACTCCACTAGGGCTGTGAGGTGGGCTCGAACCTGCGACCAAGACATTACCAAGCACCTTACTCTCACCCTGCAGCCCTCTAGATGTTCTCATTGATATATTTCACATTAATGTGATTTATGTGTGTTAATAATAATAATAATAATAATATTAATACTAATGATAATAATGATAATAATGGATTCGAACCTGTACACACTTGGTAGTCCCAAGCACAAAACCCACTGGACAACACTATGCTACACAAGTAACACAACCTGGGATTTACCTGAATCGTCGAGGGGCCCCTCAGGCAGTCTCACTCCAATTTTCTTGCTCACTTCAATGTAAGAAAATTAGATTGTGTATTAAAACAAATATATAAGGAGACAGTTTCTCTTACAGATTACTAAAGGCAACCCAGCCTTGCCTAGTTCTGTCTCTGTCTCTGTCCATCCCTATGTCTCTCTATCTATCTATCTATCCATCAATCCACCCATGTATTCATTTGTATAATCTATCTATATATCTATTTTGTCTCCTCATCTTCCCATGTCTTGTCTCCTCTCATCTTACAACTTTACTACACACTATGTTCACAGTTCTATCTTTATCAACATAACCTTCTATTCTTTATTTTTCGTTTTGATCGTTAAAACTCCACGTTAATTATATCCCATATTTCACATTTATGTCTATCAAAATGGTCTAGAGTTGTAGATAATTACTAATATTTCTTAAATCCCTTAAGCTAAGCCTACCCCGACCAGCCTATGTGAGGCTAGCCCTAGACGTCTGGCCTCCAACTGTTGGCAGGCTCACTGGAAGATAAACAGACAATCTCTATTATAGAATAAATTAAATATTGGATATTAAAGCGAGAAGTAGACATCTCGAATAGTTTATTAATTGATTTGTATATTTTCCGTTACCATTAGATGCGCGGAGGGGTTCAAGGGCCAGCGGTGCCAGGAGAAGGAAGTGTACCCAACCTTCAGTAAGTACTGTTGACTGCTGCAGCAGCAGGTCTTGGCCGTCTTACCCCTCGCCTCCTTCTGTATCACACTTTGCTTCTCTTTTCTTTAGCCTTTGATGTAAAATTATTGACCATAGAAATAGTTAATCTTTGTCTTCATGTTTTATAACTTTTTACCATCTTCAAGTGCAAGTAATAAGATAGATTTATAATTTTTTTTCTGTTAAGATAATCTCTATGATGGGAATTAGCTGCTGGAAATCGATTGCATGATGATGCTGTAGTTAATTCTTACGTCCGGTACATCATGGAACGATTGCCTGGGAGACGGCCGCACTTAATTTCTTTATAAGTCAAATATTGTTGGTAATAATACATCCTGTCCTTACTATTAATTGTTTAGTGTTATTTAAGGAGTCCGTTATTGTACTTATAGTTACTAGTTATGGTAGAAATAACCTCTCCTCAGGCAAATCAACTGTGTACTGTACTGTCTAAGTCCTAATTGTGCTTAGGACTTAATATGCTTCTCATAAAGTTACCACGAAGAGCTCTGTTAATACACCAGAAGGAAGGAGAAAATTTGGTCGGCTATCGTCAGGAACTACATTGGAAGCCTTCCAGTATACCTTCATGATTGTGTAAATGTCAATAATGTCAGTAGTTTAGATCATTCTGTTTAATACAGAAAGAAAGTACATTATAGCTAAATACAGAATATTCTCTTCGTGGGAGCTGTGCACCAACTTAAATGTTCTTTCGAGCACAATGAATATAGTACTAGGCATACCTTTCTCTTGTTAAGCATCTCTTGCAGTCCCCTATATTTCTTGATAAACGCTCTGCACTGTTGAAGACCCGCAATGTATCACTGCATGAGAACCAGTACGACACGCACAGGTCGTCGTGACCAGTCCTGTTCACACTCAGGTCGTGAGGGTCGTCCTGTTCAGTACGACACACTCAGGCCGTGAGGGTCGTCCTGGCCAGTACGACACACACAGGTCGTGAGGGTCGTCCTGGCCAGTACGACACACTCAGGGCCGTGAGGGTCGTCCTGGCCAGTACGACACACTCAGGGCCGTGAGGGTCGTCCTGGCCAGTACGACACACTCAGGGCCGTGAGGGTCGTCCTGGCCAGTACGACACACACAGGGTGTCTCCATGTTCAACAGTCACTGCTGCCAGTCGTGCATTTCACAATACCTTACAATAATGCTCTTTCCTGTACCTTGTACTGTGTGTACACGGCGCCACCCCTCACTGCCTCTCTCCGCCAGTCATGTACACACCTCTGTACCCTCCACACACAAGCTTTAGTTATAACAAAAATACTCAAAAATAGTTACATAAACATTAAAATTATAATAATAATAATAAAAATAATAATAATAATAATAATAATATAATAAAAAATAAGAATAATAAAATAATAATAATAATAATAATAATAATAATAATAATAATAATAATATTATTATTATTATTTTTTACGTAATTAAAAAAAATTGCTATGTATTCATAAACATATTACATTCAGTGGCTATAACAGTACTTAGGCATAAATCTCTTCCACTCTCTGTTCCTCTTGGACTATCAGTTTATTTTCCTTTCCTCTGCCTATATTTCACAAATTTTCCGCTGGTTTTTGTCCCCCATTAACCTCCATTATTTATTCATTCCTCGTGACAATAAAGCTGGCAGTAGGGACCATGAAATGAATGTCTTTCCTCCAGTGCACTCCAGACGACCCTTGAGCCGGCCGCGCTCCAGGGTCAGCCTGCTCTAGGGCGGCTAGACACGCCTGGCAAGTACGTAGTCACTCACCCTCCGCCCACCTGTCTGTTTTGTGTGTGTGTGTGCCAGCTTCTTAGATTATCTTACTGTGCTGTCTCTTCTTGCCCTATTCTGTCAAGCTGATTGTTCTTGGTGCAGTTTAGCTTGTGAATGAGCTGTGTGTTCACTAACTCGGGGACATGCTCACCTAATACCCAGCCGCTGGTTCATACATTCTTAAATATTGGAAATCATATTTATACATATATAGTCTAAAATAAAATCCATACAATATGAGCATTGTGATGGGGATGTATAGGCCGTGATAGGCTGAGTGTATTGTGTCAACATGGGCCCAGTGGTAATGGTTTCTTCGAAATCTTTTTCATTAATATTAGCGTAATATCCTTCACATTTTAAGACTACTGACTCACTTATTTTTTTCTTCGTTCAATGACTTTTGACAAAACATTAACTGAGACTGAATGTGAATTAAATATGTAATGATATATTTAAGAGGGATGGATTTTGTTTATCATGTAAAGGTGCGGCATTTTTTATTAAAGTGGCTCATTGTCTCGACGACTTTCAGGGACCATATGTAAGTGTAGTAGGTATCCCGACGACTTTCAGCGACCATATGTAAGTGTAGTAGGTATCCCGACGACTTTCAGCGACCATATGTAAGTGTAGTAGGTATCCCGACGACTTTCAGCGACCATATGTAAGTGTAGTAGGTATCCCGACGACTTTCAGCGACCACATGTAAGTGTAGTAGGTATCCCGACGACTTTCAGCGACCACATGTAAGTGTAGTAGGTATCCCGACGACTTTCAGCGACCACATGTAAGTGTAGTAGGTATCCCGACGACTTTCAGCGACCATATGTTAGTGTAGTAGGTATCCCGACGACTTTCAGCGACCATATGTAAGTGTAGTAGGTATCCCGACGACTTTCAGCAACCACATGTAAGTGTAGTAGGTATCCCGACGACTTTCAGCGACCACATGTAAGTGTAGTAGGTATCCCGACGACTTTCAGCGACCATATGTTAGTGTAGTAGGTATCCCGACGACTTTCAGCGACCACATGTAAGTGTAGTAGGTATCCCGACGACTTTCAGCGACCACATGTAAGTGTAGTAGGTATCCCGACGACTTTCAGCGACCATATGTTAGTGTAGTAGGTATCCCGACGACTTTCAGCGACCACATGTAAGTGTAGTAGGTATCCCGACGACTTTCAGTGACCACATGTAAGTGTAGTAGGTATCCCGACGACTTTCAGTGACCATTTGTAAGTGTAGTAGGAATCCCGACGACTTTCAGTGACCACATGTAAGTGTAGTAGGTATCCCGACGACTTTCAGTGACCATTTGTAAGTGTAGTAGGTATCCCGACGATCCTTTCAGTGACCATTTGTAAGTGTAGTAGGTATCCCGACGACTTTCAGCGACCACATGTAAGTGTAGTAGGTATCCCGACGACTTTCAGTGACTATATGTAAGTGTAGTAGGTATCCCGACGACTTTCAGTGACCACATGTAAGTGTAGTAGGTATCCCGACGATCCTTTCAGTGACCATTTGTAAGTGTAGTAGGTATCCCGACGATCCTTTCAGTGACCATTTGTAAGTGTAGTAGGTATCCCGACGACTTTCAGCGACCACATGTAAGTGTAGTAGGTATCCCGACGACTTTCAGTGACCATTTATAAGTGTAGTAGGTATCCCGACGACTTTGAGTGACCACATGTAAGTGTAGTAGGTATCCCGACGACTTTCAGCGACCACATGTAAGTGTAGTAGGTATCCCGACGACTTTCAGCGACCATTTGTAAGTGTAGTAGGTATCCCGACGACTTTCAGCGACCACATGTAAGTGTAGTAGGTATCCCGACGACTTTCAGCGACCATTTGTAAGTGTAGTAGGTATCCCGACGACTTTCAGCGACCATATGTAAGTGTAGTAGGTATCCCGACGACTTTGAGTGACCACATGTAAGTGTAGTAGGTATCCCGACGACTTTCAGTGACCATTTGTAAGTGTAGTAGGTATCCCGACGACTTTCAGCGACCATTTGTAAGTGTAGTAGGTATCCCGACGACTTTCAGCGACCATTTGTAAGTGTAGTAGGTATCCCGACGACTTTCAGCGACCATTTGTAAGCGTAGTAGGTATCCCGACGACTTTGAGTGACCACATGTAAGTGTAGTAGGTATCCCGACGACTTTCAGCGACCATTTGTAAGTGTAGTAGGTATCCCGACGACTTTCAGTGACCACATGTAAGTGTAGTAGGTATCCCGACGACTTTGAGTGACCACATGTAAGTGTAGTAGGTATCTGGACGACTTTGAGTGACCACATGTAAGTGTAGTAGGTATCTGGACGACTTTGAGTGACCACATGTAAGTGTAGTAGGTATCTTGACAACTTTGAGTGACCACATGTAAGTGTAGTAGGTATGACTTTAGCGACCATATGTAGTGTAGTAGGTATCCCGACGACTTTGAGTGACCACATGGGTGTGGATAGTAGGCATTAATGAAGGCAACCCTCCATTAATCATTAGTTTCTTTACCATGAGTTTAGGTAACTTACTTGCTCTTCTCAACACTCTAGATTAAGAAAACAAAAACATATAAACCTAAAAATATAAGATGATGGGTATCCCAACGACTGTCACCGAGCATGTGAATGGGCAGTAAGCATCCTGATGACCTCGAATGACCATTTGTAAGGAGAGGAGGTATCCCTACTAGTCCCTGAAGACTCCTGTCCAGGCCTTCTGATCGGGGACCGAGCCCCGGGGACGTTGAGCCCTGAAATCATCGCAAAATAATGTATTCCAATGAGCTGTAGTGACTATATGTAAGAGGGATAGAAAACCATTTGACTTTAATGATCAATATATATGAGCAGTATTTATCCAACGGGCTGTTAGAATTCGTGTGCTTAGCAAGTATTTAGCCTTAATATACCATTAGGTTGTGAGGGGTCTGAGTAAGCGAGAGTGTGCGTGCACGTGTGCGTGTGTGTGCCCGCAAGGGGTACATTTAGAATAATTATCTCTTCTATAAGAGGTAAACCTTGGGGGCAACTTAATAATGCCATCCACAATGATGCCCTAAAACAGGATATAAAAGGAATAAAAACTGTTTTACCTAACATTAGAACACTCCCAGCGCTGGACCTTAGACCTAACACCGTGTACTTAGCCCTTGTGTGAGGATTAAAACCTA